GTTTTCGCCTGGCAAGCGTTCTCCCTATAAAAAGCCACAAATGTCCATTTAACAACACTGCAACGTGGCGTATGTGACATGCCACCGAATAAAGTCACAGCACATAACTTCACAATGGCAGGTCAACTAGCGTCACAATTTTAGATAGGATCGTTACAATGGAACTTCTACATCTGCATATACTGTCGTCATTTTACTTCCTACGATACGTTGACCTTTGCCTTACTTGTGCACCAACTCATTCTATTGGCATATATCTCTTGAGCGTGCTCTTCCATTACCTTCCAATGGATCATTCAGGACTCTCAGTCTATTATTAGCTGAGGTCCCGTATCTCATGACAGCCAAATTATTGTTTCGCATTTTCACCATTGTACAGTTCCAATCATGGACATATGAACAACTTTCTACTGTCACTGTTACGGTTGCCATAAAATGTTTGTACAGTTGTACATATCTGATCATGCCTCGCATAGTCGAGAATAAAACATTTATTTATTTTATTTATTTAACACAAACCAGGACGAACCTTCCCAGTCAAAATACGGTAGGTTAGGATGAGGTCCCCAATATTTCTTCGATAGTGCATTGGACGCATCCCCTAACTAAGTAGGCTTTCGGGGTACGTTTGGCCTCGTACCCTCTCCACCACCCTAGTACCGACGTGCAACCTCTTTTCTAGCGCCAGTTTGTCCCGGACAATGCATTGTGGACAGGCCTGGACGTAATATTCTATGTGGGGTCGCACAGACTCTGAGAAGGGCTTCACAAACACGTTAGCGGAGAGCGTCCTGAAAGAACGACGGATAACCCACAATATCCCGAACCCTTTACTAGCCGCCTTCTTCCAGTTGTCTCCAGAGGGTAGTATGAAACAGTGAACGACACCTAGATCAACCTGCTGAGTCACGTGGGGAAGTTCACTCCCATCCAGCAAACAACTTGTGGAGGAATCAGACGCTCAGTTAAGCAGCAATGAATAATTTGCCCAGTTTGGGGTAGCAACCACAAGGCGGACCATGCCCAGGGTCTATCCAGAGCCCGTTGAAGAGCCACAGGACCTCCAGGGATAGCAACCATATATTCCAGAGTTTTAGGTCATCAGCAAATAAAAGCGATGGTACCTCCTCCGGCAAGTCATTCACGTAGATAGAAAAAGGCAGCAGACCTAGGACAGAGCCTTGCAGAACGTACCTAAGGAAAGTTTGTCGAAACGGAAGACTGCTTCCCACACAAATTTCCCGTTCATCCAGCAAAGCTAAAACCCACTGGAGAGCGCGACAAGGTATTCTATACGACCTCAACTTCAGTGAGGATCGCCAATGGGGGACAGTGTCGAAGGCCTTGGCGAAGTCAAGGAATACCACACCCGCCGCATGTCCACTGTCTACGGATTCAGTCCAGCTCTCACCAGCTACTAGCAAGTTCGTCTGAAACAAAAATCTTTTGCGAAAATTAGGTACGCGACTCTAAGCAAGTGCAACGCATTTAACTGGTTCTCCACTATATCTCCTACTAGAATTTCAAGTAACCTAACGACCATGCTAGTCAAGCTGACAGGTCTGTAATTAGCCGGGTAGGTCTTTGTCCCCGCACTTGAAAACATGGGCAGATAACAGCCTCCTTCCATTCGGTAGGTAAGACGCGGCTTTTGACTGACTTCTGAAGCACACAAGTCAGAGGTCCACTGAGTTCCATTGCCAATTCGTGCAAACAATTTGGGATGTACGGAATCTGGCCCGGAAGCCTTAGTTGGCTGTACCTGTCTTAGCAATCGAACTTGAGACTCAGCTACGGGAATTTCATCCAGACAAGAGTCCTCAGAGACTCCTGAAGCTGGTTCCCTGCATGGCGTCTTTGTTTCACGGGCAATGACGCTTGCGTACTGCCCAACAAACACGCATGCCTTGCCATAGTTGCTATAGGCAAGGGTTTATCGCCTCGAGGGAATGGTGGTATGGGTGAGTTAGCACCACAGCGTCGTTTAAGGTAGGCGAACAATTTCTTGGAAAAATCGAAACAGTATCAGCTAAGCCCTTTTCATACTGAAGACGGGCCAACATAAGATGTAGCTTGCACTCATTTTGAACCAACCGATACTTGTCAAACGTGCTGTTCGACGGAGCTGTTCGATACGCCATCCGGCATGTAGACCGTTCCTTTAGCGGGCCATACCCCGTGGAATCTATCCACGTTGGTTGCGCTCTCGAGTCTCTTCTTTTTATCAGTGGGATGGGTGGTGCAGAACTCTCGCCGAGGTGAACCTTACCTTTTTCCCTAGGCTATGTGAACAATGCCAGTCGCAGATATCACACAGGGCGATGGCCTAGGTTTACCCCGCATTGCTTGCAAGTCCGCAGCCCAAATGTTAGGATACCAACTGGCAGTAGATTGGCAAGGCCTGATAACAATACACTGGAAAGGCAAGCAACTGTGATCGTTGGCACCAAGAGACTTGTCGTAAGCAATGTCCTTTAAAAAGTCAAGTGACAGCAATAAAACCTAAAATGGACGGCTGCTGATTTCCCATGTATATAGTGGAGAGGTCCACGAAGTGGTGTAGTGGTACCTGCAGCAGTTCCGTACCGAACGATCCCAGGGCCGAACTGCTAGGTAGAACATCCCAACAAACCTCTGGGAGACAGAAGTCTCCCAGCACCAGACACTTGTTCACAGAATGTGTATAAACTCAATGATTCTATTGGAGGTGCTCCTAGGGCCTCTAAACACTAACACGACCGTAACCTGAACCGAGGAAGTCGAAAGCAATGCTGCGAGAGCCTTAACAGTTTTCTTGAGAGACTGCGAAACGCTGTTCTTCAAAACGTCGATTTAACAACTCACGTAAAGAGCTACACCACCCACTTGACGGCCAATGGGGCGCTTATCCCTGAACGGTGCGTAGTCAGGCAGATATAATTCGCCATCTGTGATTTCCTCAAACAGCCATGTTTCAGTGAAAACAAGTATATCTGGAGGAGACTTGTCCACGGGCAAACCCACCCCGCACAGCTTGTTCCTCAGGATACGCGCGTTACTAAGTACTACTTGGGGGAGTTCGGCACGACCAGCACTGGGTCGACAGCAAGTAGAATAGGTTCTGGCAGGGCCAACAAGGACTGCCAGCTGACGGCCTGAAAACTCATCATTCGGAGACCTTGCTCGACAGCTGCACGCCGAGCTCTGATGGCTTCCTTTAACCTTAAACTATCCGCTACGTGAAGGTCTGGTTGCACCCTAACCTTGCTACCTTTGAACTGGAAGGCAAATCAGGATAAGGCCCTGCACTCTGCTGGGGTGGAGAAGACCACCCTAAGCAGACGGGGTCGAGGATTTGGCTGACCACCCCGAACGTTCCCAACCTGATGTGCCTATGACAGTAACGCCAGGGAAACCTGGTGGTAAAAGCCTAGTCACGCAAACTTTAGGCCAACCAATATCATTAAGAATGCGTTCGGTAAAAAGAGCGGCAGTGGGTTCAGTGACGTATCTGAAAAGCACACCGCTATCTGGGTAAGAATAGCCCCAACGAGGTGTTTTACTCCACATGCTCTACCACCCACGCCACGTGGATGTTTGACAGGAATCGGCGACGGCAACTTATGCCTCACTGAAGAAATTGCAGCACCAAGTGGAGTTTCCAGCTCAGGCGCTTACGACTTGAGCGTTTTATCCCATACGGTTTGGGGGCGTAGGGTTTGCAGCTTTCCTTGCCTTCTTACGCATATTCTTTAATGGCGCAGGGGCCTGTGACCCGCCTTCAATTTGAGGAGGGTCAACAATGCCATCCGACGCAACTGTGTCAGTTATATCCACCTGAACTGGAGCGCCCGGTAGAATGAACGCCTCGGCAAAGGATGGCCTGTCAGCTGAAGGACAGTCCGTTGCGGCGTCCACATTCGCAATATTCAGGGGTTTCATAATCAAATCCACTTTAGAGTTGAGCGAGGCAACAGAAGCGAACTTGGCTAATGCCTTTTCAAAAACGGTGTACCTGGATGTTAGTTCTTTGAACTCAGTACATGTGAAAGTCGGGAGCTTCGCTTTCTGAGCGCAATCAGCACATCTAAACAGAAGGTTTTCACTGGATGCTAGCGTATTGTACTGATTCGGTCGGAGGCCGGTACAACTTTTGTGATACCAGCTGGCGCAAACACCACACTGCATACCATCAGCTGAATCCGTACCTGGCCTTGAACAGGCAGGATTACCGCAAGCTGCATTTGATTCATCAAGCGAGGACGCAAGGGGTTCATCCGACTCCGTTGTTAGCGAGACGACTATGTTTAAGTAGGAAACAGAGAAAAGTTAAAAGTAACACATGTACAACCGTTGAACGACCACAATGAAAGGCAAAACAGGGTGTAAAACGGGATTAAAAAAGGAACAACCGCAGTTACCAGTAAGCGTCAGGGAGACTCTATGTCCAGTACCACGTTAATCGATCCAAGATCTGTTGGATCAGAGGAAATTTGAGAATAGTCAAATTTCGCTTCAAGCGTTTATTCACGCACCGTTTTCCACAATAGTTCAACTGAAAAGCTAGATCAGTATGGCACACCAAAAAATCGAGTAACCGCGTAGTACTTCACAGACGAAACAAACAAAGGAGGCTCAAAGTACGGTTTTTATTGCTCTCTCCACACGCGTTGTGAACGAATTGAAACGGGTAACGCAGCCCATCGCTGATGCGCAGCCAGTGTATTGCTTCGACATAAAACATGTTTCCCACCTGCTGAATGTGCCGGCACCGCGTTGCATCAGCTACTAGTGCGACGGCCTCTCCAGCGTTTCCGTTGCACAATTACGCGATCATCACAGCAATCATCGGGAAGGGATAGAGCTGTCGAAGGCTTTCTTTCCTCTCTTCTACCCAATGAATCAGCGACAATTAACCGATTACCTTGGGGCGCGTAATGAAAAGCGACAGTACAAATGCAATTAAAGTTAATAGATTACTAAAAAAGGAACATTTGCTATTTTTGGTATTAGTATTGCGCCTGAGTTTACAGGTTACTAAATGTATTCCAAGTGTCCGTCTTTGTTTTACTGGGCCCGCGTCCATAACCGCTTAAAATTCGCTTGGAGATGGCGGATGAGGCGGAACTCCTGGATTATGAGGAAGAAGAGCAGGAGACAGTACAAGAAGTGAGGCCTAATGGCGAAGCACCAGTTAAGAAAGGTGTCAAAGGGGCTTATGTTACTATACACAGCTCCGGATTTCGTGATTTCATCCTCAAACCGGAACTTCTACGCGCCATAGTGGATTGTGGTTTCGAGCACCCCTCCGAGGTCCAGCATGAATGTATTCCCCAGGCAATCCTCAGTATGGATGTACTGTGTCAGGCAAAGTCTGGCATGGGGAAGACTGCTGTGTTCGTTATCGCTACCTTGCAACAGCTTGATCCAGAGGAGGACACAAACACCAGTGTCCTAGTCCTTTGTCACACAAGAGAGTTGGCGTATCAAATTAGCAAAGAGTACGAAAGGTTCTCCAAGTACATGCCAAAAATAAAGGTACTGTTGTTTATTCCGCGTTTTTATTTCGCCTTAGGTTGCCGTTTTTTTCGGTGGGCTTCCAATCCGCCGAGACTTGGAAACACTCGCCAAGTCGCCCGTGCATATCGTCGTCGGCACTCCCGGACGCATCCTGGATCTCATGCGCAATGGGGCCCTAAAGCTGCAACATGTGAAGCATTTTATCATCGATGAATGTGATAAGATGCTGGATACGCTCGGTATGTCAAAACCGACCTTTTATTTTTATTTGCAGAAATGCGGCGAGACGTTCAAGAAATATTTCGCATGACTCCTCACCAAAAACAAGTGATGATGTTCAGTGCAACCATGAGCAAAGAAATCCGTCCGGTCTGCCGAAACTTTATGCAAGATGTACGTTGAGTCGATGGCAAAAGGATTATCTGTGCGTTTCCTGCATGCCACCTGGGCTCTCCAAACGTCAATGAGCTCTTAAAAAATAAGCGAATCACTGGGCGTTTCGCCGTCACCTTTGGCCCTCATTTGCGAGCGATCCAGCGTTGATGGCCTTTGGGTTCAATCGTATCGAGGCATACGAAGATCCAATTGCCCGTTCTGGTCGTACTTCTTGGTCATCGCGCTGCGCAGTTTGTCGTAGTGGACGGGTTCGTTTGGACCAGGTGGCGGATTCACCCAGGCGTTTTCACAGTAGTTTTCCTCCGTGTCCTTTTCATTTTGGTTGTTAGCGTGGGACAGGTACGCATTGCTGCTTTTCACCTTTTTTGCAGCCCCTGGAGATTTTCATCGAGAATGATTCGAAGCTTACTCTACACGGTCTCCGCCAGCACTACGTCAAAGTTAAAGAGAATGAGAAAAATCGAAAACTCTTTGAACTTCTTGATGAGCTGCAGTTCAATCAGGTACTGTTTCCATGATGTTCGCCATGCTAATACTGATGCAAGTGCTCGCGTACGTCTGCAGATGTGTTACATTTCCTTATCACTGACCGACCCTACTAGTCCCCATTTTTCGTTTACAGGTCATCATTTTCGTCAAATCTGTCCAACGATGTATGGCTCTCGCCCAACTCTTGGTGGATCAAAACTTCCCCGCAATCGCAATGCACCGTGCAATGACGCAAGAAGAACGCCTGGAACGGTACCAGGCGTTCAAGAACTTTCAGAAGCGCCTGTTGGTCGCTACCAATTTATTTGGTCGTGGCATGGATATAGAACGAGTGAACATAGTCTTCAACTACGATATGCCTGAGAATTCCGACACCTATCTTCACCGAGTGAGTTCTCTTTTTCAAAATGAAACATCCAGCTATTTCTTACCCTAAGAGGGCAGCTGTCTGGATGCAGAAATGCAATTAATTCAGTTGCCGCAACTCATTTACTAGTACCAATCAATCGTTGAGTAGGTCGGTGGTGATATGCAAAGTGGAATCGGTCGTTTGGGTAAAGTCAGCGGATAGGTCATTATCAATAGCAGTACATTAGCCACGAACTGATGCTTCGCTGCCGCACAACCACCGTGACCTACGGAACAAAGAATAATAGTGAAAAGAGGGGAGAGTTCTGGTAAAACCTTAGTATCAAGGCGCTTACACCTTGTCAGGAACATACCAACACAAACGGCTGGCTATCGTACAAACGTAAGGCGGCATCAGCGAGACAGCTTCCTTTTGGCTTTCATAGCCCGGCTTCATAATCAGCCAGCAAACAACTCAGAATCAGACACTTTAGACCATCCGACTAGGACACGATAGCAGACATGCTACTAGCGTCGAGTGCGAGAAATGTTCTGTGATGTCTCAATCCAAGCATAGAGCGAGTCACGTGGACTCCAGCCTGAAACGCGAGACGACCGACAGCGCAGTTTGATCTTCAGTGACTTCATTTCCCCCTATCAAGTTACTTTTGCTTATATCGGGCCTTGCGCAACCCTACATCTGGCAAGAAGTAAGGCTTTCCTCGACCAAGCATACGTAGTACTGTGCTTTTTGTTATTCTAAGGAAATAGCCGGGTTCTTACTGCGTAGTTCTCGCCTACATTATCGTTGTTGACACACCGGTGCGATCGAGCACCAGCAATGGTTCGCGGACAACGAACTTCAAAAGCTTAAAGGCGCCTCACGTCCTCAGATCAGAGGGGCCAGGTCTCGCTTCCATAGAGCAGGACGGCCCTCACTATGGCCTTAGATACACGGCCTTTTAGACAGAGGGAAGTCCCTTTCTGTTGCACGTCCAAAAAGGCAGTCCTAACTTTTGCATTGCGTAAACTAACTTCGGCTGCTATGCGCCCGTCATTGCTGATACAGCTGCCAAGGTGGGTTAAATGATCTACTACCTCCCCATCAAGAGTCAAGAGATCATCGACTGTGGTACTGTAACAGCGCTTTGCGAAGTCAGGTGATTGGACCACTCTAAATTGCACCGCCACATCATTGTTAAAAAGCTGGACAATCTCGTCCGCACAATTAAGACCAACTAGAATTAAAATATTTTAGAGTTGCTCCTCTTAACACTGGCATCTCACGACCGCGTTCTCCTATGTGCTCACCAGATGTAGATAGTTTGAACTGGGGTGGAACTCAGAGCCTAGTTAACAGCTGACGCCATAAACACTGCCACAGATCCGCGAGCAAGGCTTGATACAGCGTAAACGAATTCAAAGGTGGACTTGGAGAACCCGCTGCGTGGTTGAGTTGCCATACACCACCTCTACTGAGACCTCGGTTCATATGATCAACTAGCTTTTCCCGAGGCCTACCTCAGTACCTGCATCTTGAGGCTCAGTAAGAGACCACTCCTTGATGGGATCCGCGACGAAGTTGAACAAAAATGGCCGGATTGGGAAACCCTAGCGAACGCCACTTGTCGGAAAGGCTTCAGACAAATCACCGTGGACCCTGTCGCGGCCAGTTGTGTTCGCGTATAGGGCACGTAACGTGTTTACATATTTCATAGGAACATCTTTTCGCGCAAGTATTCCGAGCAGACTGCATCGGTCGACTGAGTTGAACGCACTCTTGTAATCGAGGAACAACTATTGTCGGCCTGCGGTACTTGTAGCGCCACCCTAGCACCTGCCGCAGATAGAATATGCCCTGTCCTGGACGGAAGCTTGCCTGCTCTCACCCAATCCGTGATTCTGGTTGCGCAGTGAGGCGACGAACGAGAATTAAAGTCAATAGTATTGCCACCACCGGCGTTAGTCCAATACCCCTGTGATAGTCGATGCGACTGCCCTTGTATCTCGCCAATATCATTGATTCACTCCACTTAGATGGGATGGTCTCTGCCTTCCGGACCTGTTCCAACAGGGTTAGTGCTCTGCAGAGGAACTCCACCATCCTTATATTTTGCGGGTGTGAGCGAATTCAGATCAGCAGCACGAAAGCGATTAAGGGCTGCGATCACGTTTCGAACCTCGGCATTCGATGTCTAACTGGCCATGGCTAAGCATGCAACACCTGAGAAGGAAGTGGCCCAGCAGCAGGGGGACAACTGGACTGCTCTCCAAAATGCTCCGTCCAATGAGCCAAATTGCGCTCCCTGGCTGTCTGGTTATTTTACTGACACCTGGTTTCATGAGAGCCGTGATGCGGATTAGCTGAAAGAGCTTGCGATAATTGCTTACTGCTTTTGCTCCTTCCATTACTTGAGCCCGATTGGTCCACCAGGTTTCCATGTCAGCTTGCAGGCTTTGCTTCATTTGGCGCCTAGAACTTCGTCTGGCCACGTGCTCAGAGCTGGCCGGGTGTTTTCTTGATTCCAACGGATTCGTCGACCTCTCGGATGTCCAGTAACTTGCGTTGATGATTGAGTGCCGCAAACGGATGCTCCTGCATGTTGCATTGCGGCGGAGTTCCCATTCCATTGAAGCTCACCGTCATTAGGACAATTAATCGGTATGGACATAAAGAGACCACCGGTGCAAATCAGCTCACATCCGGTAGGAACACCGAGCAAGCAACGAGCGTGTTCGACGCTTTGTTAACGGCACAGGGAAAGGAAATGAACCACTCAGCACCGTTATTTCACGCATAAGGCTTTGAGGGCTCGGCCACGTGTTACGCACGCCAGCCCACCGACTCCCGCGACGTGCGTTGTTTGCGCGCCGGGGGTGGTGATGGAAGAAGAGGAGCGGCCAAGCGATGACTTGGTCGAGAGGAATGAAGGCCCTCACTTCGAAGCTGGCCTCGGTTAGAGCGTCTCAGCTCCCTGGTTGGGGTCCAAATGACAATGGACACGTTTCACTTGATACACTTGCTCATATGGCTATGAACCGACCTCCGTGGCGTTCGCGCCTTAAATTTTTTTGTCCCACCCCATCCTTCTTAGCCTCCCCCTCCAACCACGATCTCACTATATAATTTCGCATGGCACATTTTCTTTTTGCTGCTTAGTACTTGGCTGCTAGCTTAACGGAACGATGCCTATTTATTACTGGTAGCTCAGCTGGCTTGCATCTATTGCATTCCCTTCTTTTATGTATTGCGGCACAGTAGCTGAGGTGTTTCCCACCTCTAGCTAACGTGTGATGATTGATGGTGATTGATGATGGTGATGAGGAGGATGATGGTGCGGATGAGGATGGTGATGAGGATGATGACGATGAGGATGAGGATGATGCTGCTGCTGATGATGATGAGTACCCAGTGCATCCAGGTATGTTTGCCTGGCCGAGGGCTTAGTTGCCAATCGAAGCAAGCGCCTGGTACGCCTCGCGGGAGAACGCCAGCGTACCAAGACATGATCAGAGTCGACACAAGTACTCCAGAAAGAGCGACAATTCAGGATGGAATTACGCCACCTGTACCTAATGGCAACGTGATGTAATTGGATGCATCGCTGGTGAGCAGGACGCCAAGTGGCACTTCGGCGCCCACTGTCTAAAGGCGATACTACTAAGAAACAGCTAGTGCTCTGCACACAGCTGTAACGGACGCTCACTGTTATCCGTCTGTTCTGAGTCAATTCCATACTTAACACAGCAAAGCTTCTGAAGAGCTCAGACGACCTACAATGAAATTTTCCTACAACAATTTCTTGATGCTCTGGCCGTCGCAGAGGATAATCAACGGCCCCCTATCTGCTGCATCGAGCAGGGTGGATAGGGGTTTGGATGCTACTGCTCAGGCCTTCCCGTCTTCTTATACCCCTTCTTGCGCTTCTTCATCCTTATCGTCCCTCTCCAACTTTACTTATATCCCCCCATTTTCAATCCCCCAATTCTTGGCCCTCCCCCAGCTTTCTTCAGTAGTCGCTTGTCTTCTAATTTCAAATCACACACAATCCCAGGGCCTCGCTCCAATCCAGTTGACAAGTCCATGTTCAAGCAAGCGGACAACGTCAGTTCATCCGTTTCCCTTTGGGGTCCTCGCGTCTCGCTAAAACTGGCATGCTTCAACGTGCGCACTTTGCTGCAGATTGGCCAACAGACAGCACTTGCCCGCACACTAAAGACCCTATCGATCGATATTTGCTGTTTATCAGAAACCCGCCTGCAAGATTCGAGCTCCGTATTTACCCTGAGATACACTACGTGCGACACTGGCGGCACATTCTCATTGCGCCTGTCTGGCGATGATGCAGCTTCAAATGCCGGTCAAGCTGGCGTCGGCATTGTTTTGAGTCCCCGGGCTGAAGCTGTCCTGATTGATTGGATCCCAGTAAACAGTAGGATGTGTGCCGTTAGATTAGCTGGTTCGTTCCGTGCTACGAAGTCGCGCGGGGACAAACGGTGCCTGTTTGTCATTGCGGCCTACGCCCCTACAAACTGTAGCACTGATTCGGTAAAAGATGATTTATATCAGCAACTGCACAAGCTCCTTCGTTACAGAAGAAGCACGGATACTGTGGTGTTGGCTGGTGATCTAAACGCCCAAGTCGGAAAGTTGTCCTCTGATGAGCTTCATCTGGGCGGCCAACATGGTGTAGGCTCGCGTAATGATAATGGTGAGCGATTGCTATAGCTGTATGAAGATGCTCGCCTCTTTCTCGCGAGCACAAACTTTCGACACAGCACCCGCAGAAGCGTGACTTGGCGGCTATCAGCCTCGGGCCAACCATGGACACAAATCGATCATATCGCGATCAGTTACCGCTGGAGAGGCTGTGTCCCAAATTGTCGCTCGATTTGGAGCACGAGCGTGGACTCTGACCACGCACTTGTCTGTGCCGACCTCCGGGTGCGTTTCGGTGGACGCCCGCAACGTCGATCTGAACGGATTGACACCAGCCAGCTGGCGAAGCCAGATGTTCTGAATGTATACCATAGTGCGCT